GTCTCGGCTCTTGCTGCCTGGTGCGCTTGTCTCTGTTCAGGAGACGCACGGCACGGAGGCTGAAGTGAGCGACATGCTCCATCATGCACGCGAGGATTTCTCCTTTACCTCCTCCTTCCTCCCTGACTCCCCGAATGCAGGTGGTGTTGTGGCCCTCTTCCCGAATTTTCAGAATTCAGAACACAGGTTTAACGTTTGCGGTGTGAATCGTCCTACAGTTTCCTCCCTCCCCATTGTTCCTGGAAGAGTACTGAGTACGAGATTTGCGAATTGTGATAACTCTGTTTGGATCTCCCATTACAACATTCATAACGAGAACCTGTCTGCCGAAGAGAAGCGTAGAGTCTTGGATGCGATCGGAGCCGACCCCCTCCTCTCGAATGCGAACCCTCTCTCGTGCATGACCGTGCTGGCGGGTGATTTCAACTTCGGCAGCATCGCGATGCACGGACTCACGCCAGAGAGTGACGTCCATGGTGCTGCTGGCCACAACGCTGCTCCTGTTGCTCCTGCTGGGTGGCGCGAGCTTCTAGGACAATTCACGGAGTGCCAAATCGAAGACCCCACCCGCTACCACCACGGCCTCAAGAGGCTTTCTGATATCGATCGTGTGTTTCTTTCGTGTCCTGGATGGGTCCTGGCGCAGTGCTCCACGGGAGGCGAGGTCCTGGACCTACCTGAAACCCTTCAAGCTAAGCACATCTCGGACCACGGCGCTGTTGCAGTCACCCTGAGAATTCGAGGCGCGCAGCCGGCAGGACACAGGCCGATTCCGAAGGAGATTTGTGACTCGGCAGAGTACAAGAAGTTCATCCGAATGGCTGTCGAGGCCGCCCCCCTGCACACCCTCGAGCCCTGGGTGAAGCACCAGTACTTCAAATCCTTGATGGTTGAAGCGTCCAGATATGCTAGAGACTGTATCATTATTAGGCGTCCTGGGTCAGCCGTGGCGAGATATATGGTGCTTCGCAGTGTGGCTCATGCGGTTTTCCGTCAAGACGCTCGGCTGGCTGAGCGTCTGCAGGCTGCTCATTTCCTGGCCAGGGACCACATTAACATCGATTACAACAGCTCGTCGGTCTCGCTCGTCGCTTCCGAGATGTTCCATGAGCTGTCGAATGCCGTCCATTCCGAGGTCTCGAGAAAGAAACATATCCAGCTCCAGGAAGCCGCCGAGGAAACTAATAACCCCAACGTGCAACACCAACTTCGGGCACGTGCTCGTCGACTTCAGAAGGTTTCCCAGCTTTGGTCCCCCTTCGACCGTCGTCTCGCCCTGGCTGGTGTTCGGATCCCTGGCGGCCACATCTTATCGGAGCCATCGCAGATGCTGCGTGAGCTCGGGAGACACTGGGAGAGTGTCTTCACAGGCCGTGAATTTGGTGCTGCAGCTGCTGCGGAGTTTCTGGCGGCGCATCCTGTACATATTGACGCGCTCGACCTCCCGATGCCGACGTACGACTCTCTTCTCTCGCACCTCCGCCGACTTCAGCGTTCTGCCCTTGGCCCAGATATGCTGCCATACGCTGCGTGGGTTCATGCACCACGCGGAGCGGACGTCTTGTACGATAGTATGCTGTATTCGCTCGAAGGCCGATCGGTCTCGTGGGATTTCAACCAGCTCCTTGGCGCATTCATCCCGAAGGCAGAGGAGGCTCAGGACTCGGTCAAAATCACGAGGGAGGCGGGGAACACCAGACCCCTGGGGCTCAAAAACAGCGACAACAAAATCATCACGAGTGTGTGCTGCCGAGCTTTAAGTATCACTGTGCCGAAGTTCCTGGATTCGTCTCAGAGAGGGTTCGTAATGTGCCGAAATTTTGGGGAGAACATCGTTGAGCTGGACGCGTTTGCCCGAGAAGTAGGACTCGTTCGGCCTGGAGGCTCCTCGACTGGTGTATTTTCCGATTTTTGGCAGGCCTTCCCGTCGACGGCGCAGCAGTGGGTCAGAATGGTCATCATGTCGCTGAAGATCCCCCCGCCCTTGAAAGCGTTTCTGATCCTGTTGTACGAGAATGTGTTGTGTCTGGGGTGTATTGGGGATGCCAGAGAGCCGCTGTTCTGGGTGACGAGAGGCATTATCCAGGGGTGTCCTGCTTCGGGTTTGCTTTTCTCCATCATCCTCGACCCGTTCCTGAGGAAATTTCGGCTGGTCTTAGATGGGCCTGATGAGGGGCGTACCCGAGCCTGCGCCGACGACATAGGAATGATCCTGAGGAGAGTCCAGTTGCTAGGCCCCGTCTTCAGCATTGTCAAGGAGGCGCAGATATTCGCGCACCTCTTTTTGAAGGTTCCGAAGTGCTGCATCGTCCCCGTGGGCGGCCAGCTCACGCCAGCGCTAGTTGAGCGCTTCCGCACGTGGCTAGCACGGAACATCCCAGAGTGGGCCGACTTTGAGATTGCGGATAAGGTCAAATATCTTGGGATATGGTTGGGTCCAGGAGTTGAGTGCGAGTCTTGGGGATCTCCGTTCCGAAAATATCTTAGTAGATGATCCATGCTGGCGAAGCCTGGAGCGGCTGGTCAAGTCAATATAAGTCTGTATAACAATAGAGCGGTATCGGTGCTGTCTTATGTGGGACAATGTATGCTTCTTCCTCGGCATCTTCGGCGCCAGGAATTTGCTCAACTGTCGCGGGTGTTTAAGGTGCCTTACTGTGCGGTTCCTCATGGGGACTGGTTCGATCTCCACAGATACGGCGGCCCGAAAGTGGTCGGTGTCCTGGCATCGAACGCCGCCCAGCTGATCAGAATGAGTAAGTTCACGATCCACGAGTGGCGAAGTTGCTTGCAGAGGCTGGAGGCTGCTGCGGCTGAACACCTTCCTCTCGTTGCTCAGATCGAGGGCAGGTGCTCTCCAGAGTGGTGGAAGTCCACCCCGATTGCGTGCGCCCTCGACCAGGCCTCCCAGGGCTTCCCGAATGATGAGCTTCTGGGGCCAGCATGTACAGCAGCGTGCGCCAGGCTCGACGAACATGTGGCTGGTCACCCGGACCTCCCCCTCCACCGGCTTCGTCCTCAGAGAGTGCTGTATCAAGAGATTCTGTCGCAGCTGTACCCAAATGACATTGCAGATACGATTCGACGTCGACTCCTCCAGTGGCTCCCTGCTCTCCGACCCCAGATCGATGACATTGATTTCGGTCGTCTGCGCGCCGTGATGGCCCCCCTCCCTCCCTCCTGGTGCTTAGCGATTTTTAAAACGCTCACGGGAAGCTGGGTCACTCCAAATAGATTTCAGTGTGTGCAGTGCTGTTTCCTGGGCTGCCCTGGGGCCCAAAACGCGTGTTGGCACTTCTGGACCTGTGCTCGTTTCTGGCGCCTGGTCCGTCTGTCTTTGGCTGATGATGTCTCTGACTGTCCATTAGGTCGTTTTGGAATTCTGAATCCGTCGGTCGAGTCCCTCGAGCCTGTAGTGCATGCGTGCAATATGTATAACGCGCTCAGGGTTCTCCCGTCCCCCGCGCACCCCGTCCTCAGCCACCGCGAAGCGGCAGGCCAGGTTCGCGCGGTCCGCTGCCAGTCGAGGCGCCCCCGCGCTGGCGGTGGCTAAGGTGCTCATGGAGGACTGTCCGCCCCCTGCTACGCTCGAGGACGACGAGGAGGGGGAGGAGGTGGAGAGGCCGCGACTCCGTTCAGCGGCGGAGGAGGCCGAGGAAAGGGAGCGAGGCGAAAACAGGGAGAGCGTTGAGCCAGACGAGGTGGAGTACTCGGCTCGACGAGGAAGAGGCGGCAGAGAGACAGACGCGGGCCTGCATCAGGGGGAGGGCTCTCGCGAGCCTCGGAGTTGGCCCAATGCGACACGGAACAGTTGATTTGCGAGCTCGGATGTTTCAGAGCGGGTCGGGGCGGCTTCCGATGCTGAAAGTGCGTGTCCGACGAGGGTGGGGGCAGGGCAGGGGCAGCCCGTCAGGGCTGGAGGCAGCTCGTTGGAACGCTCGACAATCGCACGGGGCACGCGGGCCAGGTTCTTCTCTCTCTACCGCGCGGTGCCCAGCCCCGCACATGACATATTTTGCCCCAATCGAGCTACTAAATTTGGTATGGTGATGGAGCGGGCAAGGGGGGGCAGGCGGAGGACGGCTCATCCAGTAGCCACGGACCAGTTCAAAATGAAAACTGCAGAGCTGAGACGCGTTGTTTTTTACCTGGATTTACCCGGTCTTTACCAGGCTTTTACCCGGTTTTTACCCGGCCAGTTTTGTGAGAATGTCTCGAGCGGGAGCGCCGCGGGTAAAACATACCCGTTTTTTACCCGGTATTTGCTAGTTTTTTTTCCCTGGTGGGTGCCCGCTTGCGCAACAGGCGTTGCCTATTGGAGTCAACGCTAACACATCATGTTTCTAGCGTAGGCTTGCCTGTAGGAGACGTCGTTTGACCAGACACACGCGAGCAGTTGCTTGCAGCAGAGCCATACTCTCTCATTTGTTGCGCGCCGAAGCGCCCCTCAACAGCTTGTCTAGCGATTCGTCGCGATCAGAGTCGTGCGACCGCCGTCCCCACGGAAGCAAATGTGGCTTGACGCCATCAGAAAAGTTCAAATGGGCCCGCTGTGCTCAGCAGGAGTCACTCTCTGCGTCCACGCAGCCCACGAAGACGAGCGTGAGGAGGCGGAGGGGTGGAAGATCGAGCAGAAGGGAGGGCTGAGTATGAAATACAGAGGAGAGGAAACGGAATGGAGCAGGGACGAGCGAGGGTGGTGGACCAGTGCAGCTATCTCTCGAGTGCATTTCACCCTTCAAGCTGTTGCACGGCCCTTATTCTCCTAGTCCTCCATCAACCTCCTGAGCTCCCCTACCCAGCCATCGAGTCATTGGTCAGCCTCGCAGTTGCCTCCACCTCCACCTCCCCACCTCCCTCAGTATCATCATCACCATCGTCGCTATTGTATTCTCCACCATCGCTGCATCACTCCTCATCCTCGTCCTCCATCCTATGCCACGGATCATTCACTGCAGGAGCAGTGACCGTCCTGCAACCGAAACGACTTGCTGCTTGTCCTACTGCGATGGCTGGTCCTCGTGGTCGATCGCCTGGATCCTCTGCCTGGTGGCCTCCACCTTGTGGATCTCGTCAAGCACTTCCTCGATCGCACTCATCGAGCCGTGGACGTCGTTGATGAACTCCTGGGACAGGGCCGTGTTGAAGATCGCCAGGTTGTAGAGGTCAGTGTGTTCGGCCAGCTTGTTGTCGCACTTCTGGATCTGACGCGACAACTTCCCGTTGAAGCGGTCGTCCTTGGCCCACCCCCGCGCCGTGTTCGACATGATCTCTTTCTCGAGGAAACGCGCCCGCTGCATGGTCGCAGCGTGCTCCTGCACAGCACTGATTGCCTTCACGATGACCGTCCTGGATGTAGCTGCCGTGGCCTTCCCCTTTGCCTTGGGCTTGGGCTTGGCCTTCCCCTTTGCCTTTGCCACCTTGCCCTTGCCTGCGCCGTTCGGGATCGTTTGCTGGTCAGAGCGCTTCGGCTGGCATACCTGCTCTTGGGTGCCGTCTGCTTGCTGCTGCGGCCTGGTTATGGGTGACGGCGTGTCGGCAGGCACTTCGCGAGCAACGCGGGCGGGCGTCGGACGGTCCGACGAAGGCTCCGCAGGCAGGTGAGTGCGCCTCTGCGCGTCCATGCGCTCCTCCCTGTTCGTGCGATTGATGGTGCCGTGCTCGACGACGTCGGAGGTGAACGCGCGCCTGAACTCGAGCCTCTTGCTCTCCTTGTCGATCCTCGTTTGGCGACCCTCCTTGCGGATCAAGTACATGGCCCTGTTGATGGCCCCCTGCACCGCCGCCTTCGTGGGGGGGCCGCCACCTCCGCCCATCGCGGCGGTGACTAAGCCCTCGAAGGTCAAGTACTGGCCGGTCGACCTGTCCGTCTTGATGCGCTCGATGATTTTGTTCCGCCTCTCCTGCGCAGGGGGGGGGAGAATGAGAGGGGTAGATGTGATTCTTCAGGCCGTGAATACTGGCGCGTACCACACTTGAATTGTTGTTGCGTCTGCCTGGCAACTCCTTTCATGATATACCTAGTTACGATGGGGTTAGGAGCGTGAAGTAATTTTGGGGATTCGCTCCTGGTAGCTGTCGTAGATCTCCTTCGCCCAGTCCTTGACCCTCTGCTTGCGCTGGCGCGCGGAGAGCGCCTCGTAATGCTTCTGCTCTGCCTCGCAGGACGCACGGAACAACGCGTACCGTTTGCCGATGGGCGTGTGGCTCCCCGTGTCCCAGCCGCTGGCGGCGGCAAGCTCCAAGTTGAGATCCCTGGAGTCCTCGAGCTCCTGCTTGGCCTTCATGCTCTCCTCGTCCTCGCCGTCGCTGTCCTCGGCATCCTCCCGCCCTACGTTCGACTGGAGGAACGCCTTCATGAGCTGCGTTTCGAAGTCCTGCGCCTGTGGTGGTGCCGCACTTGATGATGTCTTTGCTGGTGTTGCCAACGCTGCTAACCATCATCGCCGATATTCGACATCATTTCCATTTCTGCATCGTACCTCCTCATGGCCCTCACCACTTAATCCTCATCTCCCTTACTCATCTGCTACCTCCTCCTCCTTACTCCTCCTTACACCGAGCTCGGCCTGACCGGGCTGCCTGCCGCCCCGTGTCCTCGCTTTTGCCGTGCACCCCGCCATTATTTGAGGGGGTGGGCTTGCGGGGCGGGCGAGGTAGCGGAGGGGGAGGAGGAAGAAGACGAAAGGATTGGGGGAGGGGTTGAAGGAGCGGGACGTGATGAGGATGATTAGGAATAGGGTCACGAGGGGATAAGGGCTCCGCGGACGAGCGGGAGCAGAAGCACGCGGATTAGGGAACGGGTTCTTTTTGCATGGGCGCAGTGTTTGGCATTGCTGGGCATTGCTTGGCATTGCTTGACATTGTTTGGCGTTGCTTGGCACTGGTTGGCATTGGCTTGTCATTGCTAGGCATTGGCTAGGCATTGGCTAGGCATTGGCTTGGCATTGGCCTGGCATGGGCTTGGCATGGGCTTGGCATGGGCTTGGCATTGGCTTGGCATTGGCTTGGCCTTGGCATTGGCTCGGCATTGGCTGGGCATTTGCTGGGCATTGGCTCGGCATTGCCCCGAGGAACCCGAGGAATCCGAGGAGCCCGAGGAACCCGAGGATCTAGAGGGACTTGAGCAACGGGCAACGTAAGAATACCAGAGGAACCCCAGGAACCCCCGAGCAAAGGACAACGTAAGAATCCGATGCTGCACTAAGTCTGAACACCTTAGGCAAACCCAATTGGCACAATCGGGGAAGCAGCGGCAAGCCGAACGGCCTGGATGGTGACCACGTTCGGGTTCTGGTTGTCCTTCCCCTTGTCCAGCATCGCCTGGCGCCAGCGCGTTCGGGCAAGGAGAGTCGGGCAAGGGATGGGGTGATCTCGCAAGCTCGTGGAAGCATCGTCGATGTCCGAGAGCCGAGTGATGTCCGACCGAGACCACCTGCGGAATTGACGATTGCCAATCATGGAAAGCAAAACGATACAATGTCTCGCCGATTGAACAGTGAGCAGCGATAATATCCCACCAGCCCTCCGGGCGTCGGTGGTTTTGAGCGTTTCCTCTTTCGCCCCTCCTTCTTCTCCTTCGGGGAGGGGTTTACCCCCTCCCCCTACCCCCTCCCCTGGACCTGGACGGGGGGTTCGGCGAGTCGTCGGAGCGTCCAAAACGGCCTCGGCGAGGAAGCCATAATCATTGGTTTTACTATGGTTTGGGCTCATGTTGGCTTCTTGGGGGGGGACTGTAATTAGTACCCCCTCCTGTGATCGATACCACCCAAGATGGCCCAAAAATGGCCCCCAAGGCTCCCAAGGGTGCCCCGAGATGGCCCCAAGAGGTGGGCAGGAAGCCTCAAGAGGCCCCCAGGATGCCCCTAACAGGCTCCCAAGAGACTCCCAATAGGCCCCAAGAGACCCCCCAGAGGCACCAAAGATGCTCCAAGGGGCCTCGGCGAGAATGTCAAAACATTGAGTTAACAAAGGTTTTAGCCACATGTTGGCCTCTTGGGGGGACACTGATTAAGATGACACCGGGAGCGCCTGGGAGAGCCCACAGTGACCTCCAAGATGGCTTAAGATACCCCAAGATGTCTCATGATGGCTTCCTCTGTGTGCTGCCCACTTCCTTGATCGAGGCAATTCCTCTGGGCATCGTTTCTGGACAGGCTGTTGGGGATTTTTTTTACAGCCGCAGGCGGAAGCGCCAGCGGCGGGCAGTCGCGGGCGGGCTGCGGCCGCGACTAGCGGCGGGCGCGCGTGGGGCCGCGGTCAGGCGGCAGGCAGCAGCGTCCTAAGGCGTCAGAGCCTACGTGCAGTCCAGGGAACCTGCGGGCCCCAGAACGGGCGTGCAAAGGGCATCCAGGGAGCCAGATGAGCACCGTGAAGCCGACATGCAATCCAGGGAGCTTGCTGAACAACCCCTGAGAACGTGCAAAGGTACATCCAGGGAGCCTAAGACAGGCCCGAGGAGACCAACGCAGCCAAAATGGCGCGAGCGTTCCCACCAAATCAAGCGGAAAGTAGGAACGATTCCGAGGACGCTGTTGGGGATTCTTTTTTTTTACAGCCGCAGGCGGAAGCGCCAGCGGCGGAAGGTCGCGAACGGGCCGCGGACGCAACTAAATTACCTAACGCGCGCAGGGCCGCGGATCAGGCGGCTCACGGCAGCGTCCAGGGGGCCGAAGCCGATGCAATCCAGGTGCCATGACAGCCCCTGAACGGGCATGCAGGTGCGTCCAACAGGCCTGAGGTAGGCACCGAGACCACCTAGCGCAGCCAAAATGGCGCGATAACGTTCCAACGTCCAGGTGCGGACAAGGGAACGACCCGAGGACGTCGGCCCCAGCCTGTCGGGTAGCACAGACGACGAGGTGGTAAGTCCAACGAGGATCCCGACGGCGGCAGCGAGCCGCGGCGCCAGAACGACATCAAGGTGTATCCATGTTCCGAGAAGACTACCACACCGAGATGTTTCGGCCCAGACCCAGCGGGTGGAAGGGCACCTGATGCACGCTACCCGTCGAAACGCGGCGTGTGCACACCACAGTGTCACAGTGCAGTCCAAGGGGACGGAGAGCACAGGCGGAACGAGACCGTGTATACCCAGGCAAGTCCCACAAAGCCACTGATCCAGGGTCGCGGTAGGAAACCGTCCAGCAATGGGAGTCCAGAGGGCACCGCTCCATGGAGCCTGAAGGGTACCACAGGCTGACTGGGAACAAGGACCAACGGAAAAAGCTGACGGCGAGCCAGTGGCAACGCAAGAAGCGCATCCAGGGTGTGGAGCATGAAGACAAGACAAGACATTCACAACTGAGATGCGACGGCCCAGATCCGACGAGTGGAAGGGCGTAGAAGAGCACGATGCACGGCAGACCTCGAGGAGTATGCACATCTAAGGTGGCCCAACGATACCCAACCGAGTCGTCTAGCACAGAGGGACGAGGACGCCTTGTACCCGAGACGTGTCCCTCAGAGCCAATGGATCCAGGATGACGGCGGAAGGCCGTGCTTCTTGTTTGAAAGGTCCAGGGTGACGGCGGAAGGCCGATCGTTCGGTTAGAAAGTCCAGGGGGAAGCCAGTGGTCAGGCGAGCCGTGGCCCACTGACAGGCCGGGAGGGCTGGCGGTGAGACAACTACAGTAGGGCCTGTGGCCGCGAGTCCACTGCGGGGAAGCGGTGGACGGTATTGCCGAAGCGCGCACCTGGATCCAAAGGCAGGAGGTGCGCGCATCGGGTGGAGGGCGGCAGAGCGCCGCGATTAGGGGCCCGCGGCGCGGCCTGGGCAGCGTCCGCTGGGATTCAGGAAGTGAAACAAGGCGGGGGGAGAGGAGCCGAGTGACGAGAGGGCGTCGGCCACCGGTGGAGAAAGGCAGTGATGCAAGTGGCAAGTGGTCTGCAAGATGCGCGGTGTCACGCGCGGAGCAGACGGTATTGCCGAACGGCACCCCAAGGCCAAGGGTGAGAGACGGTGCCGCTCAGGGGAGGGGAGGCAGAGTTGCCCCAGGTTGAGGGGCAGGGCGGCAGAGGGCCGCGGAGGCGCGCTGTGAAGCGCAGGTGGTGGCGCGGGCAAGGGGGGGCGGTGAGGGCAGAGAGGGAGTTCAGTCTCTCCAGCGGAGTCTCTTTTCCTCTCGATCATCCCGATCATCAGGGTAACCTCCGCCGCGCTTGCCACCCGCCTGCCAGTGATCCTCGCGCCATCCGTCGCGCCACTCGCCCTGCCAACTGCTCCAGGTGTCCCAGGAACTTGTCGCACGGTCGCGCCAGCCCGTGTGGCGATAGCCGCCTTTGCTCCAGTCGTCTGTCTGGGAGTGACGCAGGTAGTTGGCTCGTATCTTGTTCTCGTCGGTATCATAGCCAAGCCTCCTGTTCATCTCGTAGGCGTCGTACCCGCAGTCCTTCCAGGCCTCTAGGAAGTTGATGATATCCGAGGGCATGTGTAGTTTCGGGTCGGACTTGGGCGCCCTCCATCCAGGGAGCAGGGTGCGCTGCGTGTTCGCTGTCCACAGTGCGCAAAAGACTGCTCCCAGCTGCGACTGAAGCCTGGATATGCGACTGGCTGGTGTCTCGTCGGGACTTTCGAGTTCGACGGTGCCCAGCCTGACTTTGTACATTGGGCCGCCTCCATCAGGGCAGGACAGCATGTTGAGTGCGTCCTGCTCCGAAGAGCCAGTAAGGCGAGAGTAATGGGGCCTGCGCTCAGGGGGCGTCGGGGTGGGCGCGGGAAAGCGCTCGTACCGCGAGCCGCCGCCGTCGCTGGTCCTCTCGTGCCTCGCGGGGTCTCGAGCTGGGGCCCTCCTGCGATCGGCGTGCTGTTGGGGATTCGCGAAGCGTCAACAGTTTGGAGGCCTCCAACCGAGAATACAGTGTTGGCTTGAAGTGGCGCAGTCGACGGGCATCGATCGGAGAATCG